TTCAGTCATGGACTTGATCTAGAGGACAATTTTCTTGAAATTGTGTGGATTGAATTAACTCCACCTAGTTGTAGGTCTATTTTACTTGGTTGCGTTTATAAACCAAGTACTGTTCATAACATAGATGCGCTGTTAGCTCATAACATTGAAAAAGCTTACGTAGAAGGCAAAGAAATGTATATTTTTATTGACTTTAATTATGATGTTCTATCTAATTGTATTCACTACTTGTTCAATTTCTTAGCTGATTTAGGCTTTTCTCAAATTATTAATCGTGTTACGAGACCTGCGTCCGGTGAATGTTTAGACCGTGTTTATGTCAATTATAATGAAAATGTTAATTCGGCTCTCATTCATAATGTGGGTATTTCGGACCATAACCCTATTTTCGTGGTTCGTAAACTCATTTCGTTCTCTCAATCAAACAACCATGTTTCTATTCACTGTAGAAATTTCAAAGTGTTCCTTGAGTCTCCGCTTTCAGTACACAGTATTACTGATACTAATATAGCATTTGAGGCATGGTATTCTATTTTTTGATAACATTTGTGATTCGCATGCCCATTTGTTTGTAGACGTGTGAAAATTAAGACAGCCAGGATGGCTGAATACGGACATTCTACTTAAAATTAGAGAAAGAGACAATCTTCGGAGGCTTGCACGCATTTTGAGTGATGTTACTATCCTAAACCAATATAGAGCCAAACGTAATTTGGTAGTTAATTTAATCATGGCCGCTAAGAAAAACTATTATATTCAACTTATCAAAATGAATAGTTCCAACAGTGCCGCCATGTGGGGGGAAACCCTTAACGATTTGATCAGTGGTGGTAACGTTCATATTTCAGTTGGCAATGACCTCGAAAAAATTGTTAATAATTTTAATTTCGCATCTGTTGCCGACAAGTTACGACCCAATGTTTCAATGGGAGATTCATATTTTACGAATTTACGGAAATTTATTGAACCCAAATTGACCAATACTCGACCATTTGTTATACCACCGGTCACATTCCAGTTCGTGGAGAACTAACTGTTCTCACTATCAAGTTCTAAGTCAGCTGGCCGACAATACATCATCTGAATTCTTTTAGGTTTGTTAAGCGCAAACAAATTGCAACCGCCGTAAATAGGAACTATACCAAGCATGCATTTTGTGTACCTAATAAACTATGGTTTCACGTCATTTGTGCATGGCGTCATATTGGATACAAATTCTTTAGTCGGGCCCACACCTCTAACTCTAATCCCAACCTTGCTCCTCCAGTACCCCTTCATTTGTGTTATATATGCCCCTCTTTAGGACACGTATAGTTGTATATACAATTAGATTGGGGGCTCAAATGGTAATTTAGTTTATTAGGATTATCGGGATTAGTTTAGGAATGAGGGCCTTGAGAATGTCTTTTCAAATTTAAAAACTTGGAATTCAATAACTTAGTCATGAATCATCTGGAATTTATAAACGAAATCATGAATCATCTGGAATTAAATACAGTACAAAAATAAGTCTTGAATCATCTGGAATTTAAAAACTTAGTCATGAATAGTTTTGAATTTACTTTGATTGGTTATTAACCTGCTTATGATGTAACAATCTTGATTATTGAGTTCATATCATGACCTCGTGACAGTCTATATCTAAGCTTCCAGGTATTGTACAATGCTATCTTAGCTGTAAAATTAAGTCACCCCTATAACTCATTAGTTTGATGGATAAGTTCCAGAATTTGTTGCTATTAAGTAATTTATTTAATTGGCCTTGTGTGATAGGCATTGTCAACTCTCAAACCCATACTAGACAAAAACCCACTTTGTGTGACATAGATGTGCGAGGCAGTACACAAAAATCAGCCATGAATCATCCGGAATTCAATAGCTTAGTCATTAATCATCGTCAATTTAAAAAAAAATCAGTCATGAATCATTTGGAATTTAAACAGTCATGAATATTCTAGAATTTTAAAGCATAGTACAAAAAATCAGTCGTGAATCATGTGGAATTCAATAACTGAGTCATGAATCATCTGGAATCTATAATTTTGGTTATGAATCATGTGGAATTTATAAACTCAGTCATGAATCATCTAGAATTTGATTAGTACAAATAATCAGTCTTAGTACAAATACTCATCTGGAATTCAATAGCTTAGTTATGAACCATCTGGAATTTATAATGTTAGTTATGAATCATCCGGAATTCAAAATCTCTGTCATGAATCATCTGTAATTCAACAAATCGATCATGAGTCTCCTGGAATTCAATACCTTAATTATGAGTAATCTTGAATTAAAAACTTAGTCATAAATTACCTGGAGTTTAAAATCTTGGTTATAAATCTGGAATGGAAAATCTTGGTCATGAATTATCTGGAATTTATAAACTCGGTCATTAATAATCTGGAATTTAAAACCTTAGTCATGAATAATCTGGAATTTAAAAACTTGGAATTCAATAGCTTAGTCATGAGGGACCGTGACTAATGACGGCCAAGTGAATTTCTAATATTTTCTGGAATCTAAATTAAAGTTGTTGACGTAATTTCAATTGATGAATTGTCGATATGTAATCACAATTTATATTTTAGCTGTGATTCTCGACGTTATATATGTAAGCCCAACAAAAGCACATTACCAGTCATTTATGTTCTGTCGTGTCATGTGGTTCAACACTTCATCTAAAATGTAAATACTGATGGACATTGTAAACAGCAAACAGTTTCAACAAATGGTGTAGCTGGAATATAGCCACGCAACAATTAAACTACAAGTTGAATAATGAACATTTAACGTGTGGGAACGGTGACATTGTTTTGTGTTCTTTATTTTTTATGTTAAGTTATGCAAAACATTTGAACTAAAATAATAAAATATCACTGTTTTAACCCAATATTATACAAAATTATGTGATTTGACGAGACCATAGTGGTAGTATTAAATGAATGAAAAATGGGTGTTTGACAAGCATCCAGGACTGTAATTTTGCAGATATCAGACGAATAAAACAACTAACAAAGGTCGAGTATTTGATCTGTTTAAATTTAAGAAGCCAGGAGACTCACAGTATTGAAATTCATAATATTCACAGAAAATTCTTATTAGGCAGACCAATACATTATTTTGTAAATCTCTGGTTTGCAGCCTGATTTATTCCAGAGCACCTGTGCAACATTTTAAATTAAAATCCGATTTTTTGAGATAACAGAAATCATATGAGTTGTTATTGAATATTTTTGGAAAAGCTAAAAATAGGTTAATTTATGCAAATGAATGTGGAAGTTGGAAGGAAAGGGGGTGGGTAACAAAAAAAGTTCATAGTATTTTGCTATATTGTTATTATAAATAATTGTAGTTTTCAGTAGTTAACAGTACCTTGCCATTGTAAGTACACTTGTACCTTATCACGCAACAATCACCGAACCTGATTAATGCGTTCTCACAGTGACTAGATTAATATCATGTTTTAGTTCTATGTGTTTAAAGATTGGGAACTGATACGATCTGATAGCTGATTTCTAGTTTATAGCTTGTTAATATCATTCAACAAGCCGGTAGGCTGGTTGGTGATCCGCTCCACTCAAAAACAAGCAACATGTTTTCGGCTGTTTCCATGGTGGGACATAAACGTGAAGCTAACGTCGGTTTATAACTAAATGGGCCCTATACGAAG